CCCATTCTCGTCTCAGATATCCTAAACATTCCTAGCACTCTGGGGTGCCCATGACATGTGACGGTCGTTGCCCCTACTGTCCTCGTCCTGGAACCAGAACAGGTCAATCATTGCTGCTAAAACCACACCTTCTTAACTTGACAGTGCACCCCCTTACCCTCCCCCTCCCATCCCCCAAACACACGCGCACGTGCACAAAAAAAAATTCTCCTCCCTCCCGGACGTGTCCTACTACGGTGCCATCTCGATCTGATTGGACGGTCGTTGTTTTTTACCGTCTTCGTCCTGAAATCAGAACAGGTTAATCCTACTCCTGTTGCTGAACGCCAATTAGAAGTTATAAAATTATGCTTTTTTTCATGATTTGGGTCGAACGTTTTATAACTTGATATTTTTCGAACATTTTAATATGATTTTCATTTATTGATAAATGTGATGTTTCTTTGGTAGAATTTTAAGTCCATAAAGTTTTGTTGAAACTGGTCTAAGATAGCCGAGTTTTAGCCCTTTAAATGGACCCTCCTTTTCAGATACCATGTACGAAACTAACTTGTGCCAGAGTGCGAACCCGTGGATGCCGTGGCGGTGGTGGGGGGGGGGGGGGGGGGGGTATAACATGCACTCAACTTTTCCAGCAATCTAATGATCTTTATCTTAAACCTACGGAGGAAGGGCCAGAAGCCCGCTTCCTAAATGAACTAATTTCCAACAAATGTGAACCATTTTGATCGCATACGATCGCATACTTAAATGATTTCGATACGTATGTACATTGTCTTCCTTCTCTCGGCGTACCCCCCCCCCCTCTCTCTCTCTCTCTCTCTCTCTCTCTCTCTCTCTCTCTCTCTCTCTCTCTCTCTCTCTCTCTCTCTCTCTCTCTCTCTCCCAAGCCCTTTTTAACTCCCAATGGAACATAGCCATCAACAACATTTCTCCAGTGAAGCCTTTCCTGTGCTTCCTTTTCTAGCTGTTTCCTTGATGTCCCCACCTTTTCCATTTCCGCTTGTACCGCTCGCCTCTTTGTCATCTTTGGTCTTCCTTTCTTTCGTTTTCCTTGTGGATTCCATGTCAAAGCCTGTCTGATGATGTTTGTCGGGGGTCTCCTCAGGGTGTGTCCAATCCATTTCCATTTCTTCACCTTACTTTACTGGCCTTTGGCTTGTTCTTTCCCACAGTTGAGCATTTGTGACTCGATCGTACCACTTGATCTCCACTATCCTTCTTAGGCATTCGTTTATGAAGCTCTGCAGTTTCCTTGTTGCTGCTGCTGTGAGCCTCCATGTCTCTGAACCATACAGAAGAACAGTCTTCAAGTTTGTTTTGAAGATCCTCAGCTTGGTGTTCAATCCCAGTTCCTTAGACATCCATTTATATTTCTGAGGATGCTGAATGCTGCTCTTGCCTTTTGGATTCTGACTTTGATGTCTTCGTCTGTGCCCCCCTGCCTTGTTGATGACACTTCCCAGGAAGGTAAAGGATTCAACATCCGCCAATGGTGCCCTTTGCAATGTGATCGGAGCGTCGGCTGCATTCATTTTAAGAACTTTAAAGTCCAACACTACGGGAGAAGTTTCTGAGACGATTTGTCTTCTGTTGCATATGGGCTCGACTGTGAGAAAGAACTTTAAAGTCCAACACTACGGGAGAAGTTCCTGAGACGATTTGTCTTCTGTTGCATATGGGCTCGACTGTGAGAAAGAAGTCTGTCTCATTATCCAGTCCACTGCTAATAAAAAGAGAAAAGACGATAACAGGCTTCCCTCTCTCACTCCTGTTTTCACTGTCTCATTATCCAGTCCACTGCTAATAAAAAGAGAAAAGACGATAACAGGCTTCCCTCTCTCACTCCTGTTTTCAAACTTGTCAGGTATTCCGTAGTGGCGCATGAGCTTCCAATATTGAGTCCCTATCTAGGCTGTCAAAAGCTTTCTCATATTCAACAAAGTTAATGCTCAGGGAAGAGTTCCACTTTGTGGACTTCTCCACTATTATCCTCAAAGTTGCAATCTGATCTGTACTTGATCTCTTTTTACGGAATCCTGCGTGCTCCTCTCTTAGTTTTACAGCTACGGCTTCCTTCAGTCTTTCCAGTATGGTACGACTTAAAATCTTCCCTGGAATGGACAGGAGCATGATTCTTGGGTAGTTTTTACTGAGAGATTCTGTTTTTTTCTCTGTGCTGTTTGGCACCGTGAAGACGACGCTGTTGTTGCAGTTTTGTTAACTGCAGTCCTAAATAAGACGTTCTCGATCCAAGTCCTGTAGTTACTGCTCCGCGCCTCACACTGATGAAAGAAACATTTTCATGCACTACGAGCTGCTACTTTTGAGAAGCAAAACGATTCCGCAGATGCAACAGAAAAATCTGCATCTCTTGAACACGGCTCGTCACTCGAGACTGTCCTATTCTTTCCACATCCAGGACATTTCAAGTGTGCTAAAATCTTAGTATAAGTCGAGAACATTGCAAGAACTGCATTTTAGCCTATTGTTGCTTCTCAGGCACGTTTTACGACATGAACAAGGCGGAAGCGAAAGTTGCGATCAGCTTCGCTAAGTTGAGGAGTCGTAATAAAAGACATTTTTTTAAAAATCAATCGAAACAATGTTAGGACTTTTGTTTGGAAAGAGCTATGGGTTATCTGTCAGGTAAATAATTTTGTATCCTTTTATAATATAGTAGCTAATTAACACATTTTACAAAAGTATAGTTTACTGTACTCTGATGAAAAGTACTGATGGACATTTTAAAAAATTGGGTATGGGTGTGTGGCGTGTGGACTAACAACTACTCACTTGTGTCTCATAAAGCGTGACGATCAGAGTATATTAAGCTTTTTAAATATTTTTTTTGAAAACGTTGGGTGTTTAATGGCGTTCAGTATAATACTATTGGTGGTGGAGTAAAACACCTGTACTTTTACAAATACAAAGCATCACAACCCCCCCCCCCCCTTGTTCCTCCCACACACACCCAAAGACAAACAAACAATCAATCAAACAAAAAAACAAAAACAAAACAAAAAAACAAAAAACAAAAAAAACATGAATACATCCGTACAAACATACACACATAAAAACATACAAACAAAACAAACAAGCAAACAAACAAACAGACATACAAACAAAGAAACAACACCCTACCCCCTTAAAACAAACAACCCAAAACAAAGCAAAGAAACCAAAACAAAACAAAAAGAACCCCCCTCCCCCACCCCACCAAAAAATAAGAAAAACGTACAGATATGGAAGGTCCTGGCAGCATGCGGTTGACGGTAAGGATTCCCCTCTTCCTGCCGTCCCCCGGGACACACTGGGGCAGGAAGCAGTCCCGGTGGTCGGTGCTGCACTTGTGGCAGGCCGTGGACATGGTGATGTAGTGTTCTATCAGAAAGTTGTACCTGCAGATCTTTGGGGCCGCGTTCTCTTCGCACGGCCGGTTACAGTAGTGATCTGTGTAGTCTGTGTGTGGGAGAGATTGGAGGTGTTGTTGTTAGGGATTTATCTTAACTGACAAGGATGCGGTTGTTTTTAATTTTTTATAATTTTTTTTGTTGGGTGGGGTTGGGTGGAGATGAGATGAGTTGAGGTGAGGTGAGGTGGGATGGGATAAAGTAAGATACAAAAGGTAAGATAAGACAAGATGAAGGGAGATGAGATGAGATGAGGTGAGATGAGATTAATCTTAATGTTCAGACTCTGGTACATTGATTTAGTGTTTCATAAAAAAAAACCACTGACACTGACATACACACACACACACACACACACACACACACACACACGCACACACACACACACACGCACATATATAGACACACATGCATGTATACACATACAATATACACACACACGAACAGTAACACTCACACTCACACACTCATGATCAAAATTTACCGTCAAGGTACAATTTAAAAATAAACTTCTGGCTCGGAATTTTTAAAAAACCCAAAAGAAATAATAAGGTGAGCTGGAAGAACAGACACACAAACAAAGCCAGGCGTTACTAGAATCTATTATTATTTAGCGTTTTTGTCCTTTAAAAAAATCAAAGCCTGCCCCTGGCGCTCCAAACCATCCAGAATCTCCTCTCTATAACAGTAAAAAATTTCAGTCCCATAAGACTGGCACACGGAAAATCCTTTCACCATTGCTACTGCTGGATCATTTGTTTTTGTTTGAGATTCTGTGCCTGCGGCACCGGAGACAATAACAATGGCATTCCACGACCTTGTCACAAAAATGGGTGAATAAAAAAAATAAAAGTGTTGAGGCTAACACGAATGGTAGGGATAATAAAACAAATTCGAACTACGTTGATCCATCATCGTTGACAGGATATGTCCAAAATTGAATATATATATATATCACAGTCTTAATATCGCAGTGAAATTTGTTTTTCAAGTTGGAAACTGTGCACCTTTTCATTATGTTGGTCGAGGTATGAAGTTTGACGAAGATAGATGTGAGAATGTGAGCAGAAGAGAATCTAAGTTACAGTTTAAATATTATTCTAATAAAAAATTTCACTGATCCTACACTTCTCTTTAGAGACAGTTCTGTAAATAAAAGACTTGTAACTGACAGGCTAATTTTATTTCGTATACAGCCTGCTGTTCGATATCAGGTCGCACTATGAAAGAACACGAACTGTTAAAAACCTGACATGAGTAACTCTTTGATTGAATGCCAAAACGATTCAGTCTGTGTTTGCCTGTAGCTCTTTTATGAAAAGCAAAGTCCAAATAATTGTAAAGGTGCAATATACATGATCCGTAATAACTTTGGCTTACATATCTTTTTATTATAAGAGAGAATTGACGACAACATTTTGTTCGCTGAGGGCTAGGTGGTGACCTTGTCCACATTCCTATTTTGAAAAAAAAAAAGAATTTCTAGGGAAAGGTGAAAGAGGCAACTCTTGAACATCGCTACATCAGGAACTGGCAGACACGATACAATAATGGTTTGAATACCCGCCCTATGCACTATGCTATATTTTGGCATTTTAACAAAACGAACATTGTCAATTCTGGAGCTCAGCCTACGAAATTATTAACTTTGTGGGAACGAGACATCAAGACGATTAGAATTACAAAGGCACTGGATCATCTCTACACAATAGTACGAAGAGAAATAGATGGAGAGCCTTGAACACTTCCAAATCAATAGAATTTAAGCCAACCAACTAGTCTATGGGGGTTTGAACCAGGGAGGTTCTCGCTGTAGTAGGGCTGGGCAATGAGTCGCTTTAGCAAAATCCGGATAATATGTTAGTGCACCTCTTCGGCAAATATTATGACATGAACCGCTTCGGCAAATGGGTTAGAATCACTTCGACAAACGGGTTAGCCCTGCTTCAGCAAATGGGTGCACCCACTTCGGCAAACGGGTCAGGAAAGAGAGTTAAAGAGTCTGTATTCGGATAATGTCTTATTGAGGATTATCCTATTATCCGGATATTTATCCGGATTTTGCCCACCTCTACGCTGTAGTCCTGCTTGACACAAACTAAGCTATCAGTACACCCTGGCCTGAAGCAGAGTCGAACTTAGCGACAAAGCAGAAGGGTTTTTGTTGTTGTTTTTTAGTTTTACCAAGACTTTTAGGGCATTTGCAACACAATAAGATTATATAAGTGCCGAAGATTAGAGACGTTACAAGGAAGTAACAAACACAAACAAGAAAGAGGAGAGGTCAGGGCGATAAATGTTTGATGGGAAAGAAGGAGCAAACCACACAAGAGCACCCGCTGTATTTTTCTACAGAATGAATAAATAAAACCAAATGAGCTAAGAGGATGGCCGAAGAAAACTAGAATTAGGTTTGCAAAATTCACAAGCCAAGTAATGAGCGAAAATGTCTAGAGGAAATGGCGTACCAACGAGGAAGTGGGAAACAAAAGAACGAAGCTCGAGATCGGATGAGACAAAAGAGAAAAAGCTGACCAAATTAATGACAGCAAATGGTAAGGTTAAGTGAAAAACAGGCCAAGTCACATCAATCCTACAAAGACTCAAGATTTTTGTGGATTTTTAAAAATTTTATTTTTTGGGGCGAGGGGGGGGGGGGGGGTTCGTTTTTTTTGTTGTTGTTATTTTTTAAGACGGACTTTTTTGACCAGCTGTTAGAAAAATACAGTTTGTGAATGACTTATTGCTGTTTTTTTTTTTTACTTGATTCATTTTATAGGGATACTCTTCAGGTACTGTTGACTGTCTTTTTTTTCAAGAAATAGATTTTTAATAGACACATCCCTATTCCAATTCAAATGAATAGAAACAATTTTCCTATTAATGGAGGAGGAAACAGAATCAAACGTTGATAATAGTGGTTTGTAAAAACGATGAGGACATTTTAATGTACCTGTGGTCCAAACTTGGAACAGAACTTGGCTAAACACGAAACTCGTTTTTCCTTTCGCATAACTATATATATACATACGTATCTCCTAAGGAAAGAACATAATATCTAAATTCCAGCCCTGACACATTTGTTTTCTTCAATTGCTTTTCCTTTTTGCTAATGCTCTTGTCGTTGTTTGTTGTGCACTGTTGTTGATGCTGTTATTGTTTTTGTTTTTCTTGTTACTGTTGTTGTTGTTTTTAATTGTTGCTGTTTTTCTTCTTTTTCTTCGTCTTCTTCTTCTTCGTCTTCTTCTTCTTCGTCTTCTTCTTTTTTTCTTCTTCTTCTTCTTCTTCTTCTTCTTCTTCTTCATCTTCATCTTCTTCTTCTTCTTCTCCTTCTCCTTCTCCTTCTCCTTCTCCTTCTTCTTCTTCTTCTTCTTCTTCTTCTTCTTCTTCTTCTTCTTCTTCTTCTTCCTCACACTCCTCCACCTTTTTTCTTTCTCATCCTCCTTTTACCTATCACACGTCCTGCTCCGTCTCCACCTTCCTATTCTTCCTACTCCTCTGCCCCCTTCCCCTCATCCTTTTCCTTGTTTTTCTCCCTATACTCCTCACCCACCTCCACCCCTTCTTCGACTACTCCCTCCCTAACATTACCCTCAACTGCGCCACATTCCTTTCATCTTTTTTATCATAAGGCGAACTTGATTTGGTGCTCAAGTATCCATCGCACA